TTTGAAAAATCAAAGGAAGGGCAACTTCTTGTAATTAAGGTCGTTTGTGTAGTTCTTACTGATTTGCAATCAAACATTTACTAGGTTTTGCTCCTTTCTATTAACTATGGAGGAAATTTGTAGCTTGGTGTTTACTTTCCACAGACTATTCTGGCAAGCTCAGACTCAGATGTTATTTTTGGTAACCTGCCCTCTGGCAAAGTCTGTATCTTTAGTGGTGATATCACTGTGACAGAAACACGTCATGGAAGCTAAGCATGTGTACAGAGTTGTTCAGGAAAGAAGCTTCTGTGTAATAACTTGGAAGTTGTTTATGAATTTGTACCAAGTCTTACTGCTTACATCTTGGTTAACTTGGAGATCAGTAATGAATACGAATGCGTTTAATATCAACAACACATGAAAGCTCTGTCTTCCTTATTTTTCCATTCTGCATATCAGCTCTTCCTGAGTAGAGCTGTTTTGTTTTTCAGAACTGTCATTTTAAGATTATTTTTCAATAAAACAAACCTGTAAGTCTGCTCTCAAAATCGTGTCCAAAGACTGACTTCACAGTTTATTAGAACCTTTAACAGAAAACTTTTGGACTTGTCTAAGAGGATTTAACTGTATCAGTGCTTTGGTAGCTGAAGTACAAATAATGAGAAAATTATGATGGGATCAATAATGAATATTCTAATGTTGTTCCATACCCATTGCTGAACCTAGTATTTTTTTTTTTTTTTAGGTATTAAAGTTGGGGAAACAACACCTGATAAACTCTTCACATTGATAGAAGTGGAATGCTTAGGTGCTTGTGTAAATGCACCAATGGTACAAATAAATGACAACTATTACGTAAGTACTATACATAGTATGTATAAGTGTATATGTAAGTGTGTGTGTGTGTGTATATATATATATATATATATATATATAAAGAAACTAAAATTCTTTGGTAGGCTGTTTCCATTCTTTCAGATTCTGGTTTTCTTATTTTGAATTCCTTTTGGCAGGGACAGCTTTTAACTCAGTATCTTTTACTTTCTTGGCTTCTTCCTAGAACGCTTCATCTGTATGATAATGTACTGGTGCCTCCTGGTTTCTATACAAACACACTGTGTTAATGCTTCTGTTTTTGTAATGAGATGATGAGATCATGGATATTCTTGTGGAAGTGGTGTTTTGGCATACTTAGACAGTAGAATGAACTTTCTCACAGGTGGCTTTCAGACTGAGAATGTTGTTTTTTCCTTTTGGTTTTTTTTAAGCAGCTGTATATCACAGCCTTGCACTGTAGTTTCCAAATTTTAATTTATATCGTTCACTCAACAAGTCACTAAAATGCATCATCTGCTGAAAAGTCAGCTTGTTTTTGCATTTCCACACAGTGAAACCAGCTCTCCTAAAATGTATAGATTCAGCAAGATTCTGTATATGTTTTGCTGTAGGTTTTCTGTGTTGTTGTTTTGGTCATTTGAAATAATGCAGACAGTTTATACTCTTGATGCACCAACAGCCTGCTTTTGTCATTAAGCAGTGTTATAATGGAATGGAAGAAAAAGATTTCTGCTGCATAGGGTTGTATAGACACTGTGAAGAAAGTCCAGAAAGCATTGCATTTGGTGGCATAAAGCAAAATGTTATTTTCTGTTGTGCTTTTTTCCTGCTGCAAAGAAAAACTTTGTGTCAGTCATGTTTTTAAAGGCTTTGCAAGAATGTAAAGTTAACAAAAGTCCAAACTACTGCTAAGCAGGATGCTCAGAGCTAAGATTATGGAACGTTAACATTAATAAATGATTACTAAAGCTCTAAAATGTAGTGCTTGACAGCATACAATTTCTACTGACAGTCACTTGGGCAGCCAGTTGGTTTTTACTATACAGAAGTATGAAGCTTATTATTAGTTCATAGCACGGATTGAACATGTTACCAGTATGGATGACCATACAGAATGGCAGTGCGTGTCTAACTCACTGCATCACACCTAAACACTGATTTTGGTATTTCATTTTTTTAAGCATGAGGTTGTTCTATCGTGTGTGCCCTTTCTCCCATTTAACAACTATTTGGTTCTGCTGAATGCTAATATAAATGCTGAATGGAAGTTGCATTGTTTCTCTTCTTCAGAGCCTCTCTTCAGGTGTACCACTTTAGAAGTTTTGATCCTCTTCAGAATATCTTATCTATACAAAGAATTGTAAGAGGCAAAATTTCTTACTTCATAGCTTAAGAATAGAAATCACTGAAATTCTACAATATTATCTAGGGGGTTAGTTCCCACTGTTAGCTGAAAGTGATGACTTCTGCTGAAGAGTTAAAAAAAATATCTTAGAAGAAGTGTGGTGTTGCATTTCTGAAGTACCTGCTACACAATACTACTTAATTACCAAGTGATGGAAAGCAAATTCAGATTTTTCTTTTATCAAGCCTTCCTTTATTTGCATTTGTAAAGTAATGGCCATACTTATTCTGGGCATCTGTTCAAAGCCAGTTGTACCACGGTAAGCTTATGTTGGATATCAGGAGAAACTTCATTACAGAAAGGGTTGTTAAGCACTGGAATAGGCTCCCCAGGGAGGTGGTTGAGCCACCATCCCTGGATGTGTTTAGAAACCATTTGGATGTGGTGCTTAGAGATATGATTTAGCAGAGGGTTGTTAGAGTTAGGGTAGAATAGTTAGGTTATGGTTGAACTTGATGATATTTAAGGTCTTCTCCAACCTAAGCAATTCTATGATTAGGAAATCTTTTCTTATCAGCCTCTTCTTCAAAGCCTTCTGTAATAGTTTTGGATGACATATTACTGATGCTGTTCACACTGATGGTTATTCCTTCTCTTCTACAACATCTACAATTTCCAGTGTATATGAAGGCCATGTGTTTGCAGAGAACAAAAGCCATGTTTTCTAATAGCTCCATCGTTTCTGAGCAGAGATAAACACTGGGAGTGCTGTTACGACATGGCAACAGTCTTTTCATAGGCCATCAATGAATCTGTGGTTAGGTCAGTGTGTTCTTTCCGGTATGTTAAACTACTTTTTTCCTACTTTGACATAGTAGGAAAAAGGGAACATGATAATAAGAGTAAAATGAAATTCACGTATTTTTCATTTTGGATACTGTCTTGACTTACGCAATGATGTGTGAGGTTAAATTTATTTATTTTATTATTTATTTATTTTTAATAGTTGCCTACATCTAAATCTGGAATTTTTTATTAGATATGTAGTAAGTTTAGAATGGTCGGTTGGAAAGTATGATCCTGGCTGAATGCTATTTTTGAGCTTTAGACTTCTGAATTATGGCCCACTTGGATGCCAAAGGAATTTATGCCTTCAATAAATAGAGCATTTAAATAAGGGTTATTTAATTTCTTTAGAACTATTCTGTTATACTGCACCCAGTATTTTATTTTATTTTTTTTTGTCATAACCAGTGCCAGTTTGCAGTATGTGCAACAACACTGCATATAATGGGTAGCCAAAGATCCAGCTCACTAATATACTAAGGAAGCCAAAACCTCAAGCCCATGTTAGAGACGACCACTGTGAACAGTTTGTTTTAATATAATTTCTGCAACTATACATAATAACAATATTGAAGTTTATATTTTATGTCGTAATTAAGGTTTTAGCCCTTCTGATTCTTCAAACCCGTTACATGTATGTTAATGGACAGGATCAAAGTTAGCTATGATAGGATCTCAACTATGAGAACCACTAATCTCATTAATTGTAAATGCTGCAATTAATACGATTAACAAATTTGCTGACTTTTTATTGTCTTTTTTTTCTTCAACAGGAAGATTTAACACCCAAAGATATTGAAGATATAATTGATGAGCTAAAGGCTGGTAAAGTTCCCAAACCCGGCCCAAGGTATGCAATATTTGTATAACAGTGGTCAACTATTTAAAGGCTTCTCCTCTTGAGAATGAAAACTAAATTCCTGTTAGAGCTATTTGCCTTTGCAGATCTTTTTGACTTAGGATATGTAGATAGGATAGAACAGTGGATGGACTAACGTTATGTTCCTGATGACAGACTACAGGATAATCAAATGGGAACGCATCGGTTTTGACTTATTACCTAATAGGTGAATGGCATTGCCCATTGTTTTCTGTTTTTTGGTTTTTTTTTGTTGTTTTGTTTTTTTTTTTTTTGCCTGGATGATGGAAGTCAACAAATACCAGAAAGATCTGACATCTGTGAAAGGCTTTATTATGAAGCTTTACACACTTATTATTTTCTATTGTCCTGTGTTAGTCCAAATACACAGATGTATGAATGGGAGAATTAATTAGCACTTTTGACTTAGGTGTCTTTTTTATTCCTACTCCTATAATTTTATTTTTTTTAGAGTACGAGGATAATCTTGAAGTTACATTTTCTAAATACAGGGATGCATCTTTAACAAAAACATGACTGATACAATTGGATTTTGCTTTTGGGATTACTGGAACCAACACTGCTTTTCTGCATATCTATAAATAAATAAAAAATCCTTTCTTGCATTTCATTTGCAAAGCTATTTGACACTACTTGAATTTGGAAGCCTTTTGTTTTAAGGGTAGCATCCCACATTTCTGAAGCATGAATGAGAACAAATGAAAAAAGTGGCTTCAGCCTGAAGCCATTTTGTAACTATATTCTATCCAGTGATTAAACAGTATCCAAATACCAGTAATGAATGAATACAATATCCTATAATACCAGTAGTGAATGCAACTGCTGTTGTTTTTCAGGAGCGGACGTTTTTCTTGTGAGCCAGCTGGTGGCCTAACATCTCTGACTGAACCACCCAAAGGACCAGGTTTTGGAGTTCGAGCTGACCTCTGAGGAGTTTTGTAATATATGTTAAACTGTCTGGAAATAAAGTAATTTTAATCACAGTTAAAATGACATATGGTTAATATTTGGAGGGGAAGAGGGAGGAAGCAAAAGGAATTGGTTACCATGATCTAAACTGCTGCAATGCTTCATCATCATTCAGATTATCAAAAAGTGCTTCTGTAGACTGCAAAGTGACTTGCTGAATGAGTCCATTTGTGATCAGTGATGCATCAGTCATCTTTTGATTTACCACTAAAAATTCTTGTAACTACTTTTAAGTTACTATGGAAAAAGTAATAAAGCTGGCCAAATTCCAAATTTGGCAAGCTATTTTTAAGAACCAATATAGAAGTGTGAAATTGAAGTATTTCTCCTGATTAAAAAATGCTAAAGGCAATTAAAAAAAAAAAAAGACTGATCTGCAAATCATTTGCCTGAAAAAGAATAACTTCTTTATTGCCAGATGCAAACCCAATACACCACTGCTCAAATTGAATAGTGTAGGGGCAGCTATAGAACTGAAATAATTTGAAGAGGAATAAAGCAAGTAACTACTACTCTGTCACCATCTCAAGTTCAGGTTTTGATGAAATTTAAGCATTTAAAAATTTCAAGTATCTCAACTAGAAATATACATGCTACTGCAATACTGGTTATGTGTAATTGCTTACTAGCTACAAAATTATTAGAATTAGAATCTTACACTAACAATAAATCCAATCACAGAATATACTTAGTGAATTTCACAATAATTTATGCAGGAATGTGAGGATTTTAAAAATGATTGTTGCAGAAGAGCTCTAGAATAGTGCAATAATTAATATTTCCATATCCTCTTCAATATCTTTGAATAGCTCTAGGTACATTTTTTACTTTTGCTAGTAGTATTAAGGATTTTAGATTATACAAATACTATAGAGACAGTTTCCACTATTCTCAACCCTAAATAGTAGATTACTGATAATAATTCCAGGCAGCTGACACTAAAATGCCAAATAAATAAAACAGCTCTGCAGTTTCAATTCTACTGTTCAGTACCTTGAATTGTAAAAGTCATGGCTGGTGACTTAAATGAAAAATGAGTTAACTACAGCAAAAGCCAGTATGTGTTCCTTAAGCTGGTAAAGCTGCAGTAACAGAACCTATTACTGAAGGAAAGATGAAAGAATTTACATGCTGTACTCATTCTGTACAAGTAAAAGCACTTTAACTGTGGTGGGGAAAAAAAGACAACTTAGAGCAAAGAAAGTTTTAAGAAAAATAGGTTGAGTCTTGGGAAAGAAAACTGGAGTTTTCTAATATGGAAGCAGAAGACACAGAAAGAATCCATTGGGCAGAGAGTGGGTGGTAGTTTTTTTCCTTTGGTAAAGATGGAATAAAGTTAGGAGTAATAGGAAACTCCACTAGTTGACACTGGATAATGGAAAGGATTTCTGTGACCTCCATAACTGAAAAATGATACCTGGAACTATCCTGTCAAATAGGAAGAAGCAATGAAATTCAGTTCCGTCTGTAGAGTAAATTAAAGTGGGCTTATGAGCTGATTTGCTGGTTATCTGCTAGAGGCCAGCACACGTGCATTCAGCAGCATGACACTGTTCTAAGAATTTGCAAAAGATTCCTATCTTCAGATTTTAGTACTTCAGTTTGAGATTTGCAGTCTTTCAGTTACAGCCACGACAGTTTGACCAGTTGCTGTACATGCTTATCTTGATTCGGCCCAGTAGTTTTCACAGCTGATGATAGAAGATGTTTGGCTTGGGAAGGCAGATCAAGGGAAGTACTGCACAAGTCAACACAGTTCAGCTACAAAGGAGTTTTGCAGCTGTGCTATGTGGAAAGGAGGGTCTCTGGAGCCAAGGAGAAGAAACAAATGTAAAGGTAGCTATTCCAAGATTCTTCCCTGTGAATACCCACCAACTTAAATGGAGCTCTTGGAACTGCACGATACCTGTACAAGGAGCATGCAGTATTACAGCATGCACTACACCTGCAGCCTGTCATTGCTGGAGGATGAATCATGCCGTGCCTTATATAGTACTGTGAGAAGAACAAACACTCTGTCTTGGGAAATACTTACTGCCTTGGGAAATACTCCATTCGGGCTGACAGTCTGTAGCTTGCCTGCACGTCAGCCTGCCTGCACCTCAAGCAATGACCTCTGTAATCAACCAAACATAAAAGAACATGAGGTAAATGCAGCTCCCTTTTATTGCATGGTCACTGGCATCTGCTTACCTGCTTCTGGTCAGCTGACAGCACATGATGCATTGCTTGCATCAGAGAGGAAAGGATGGCAGCTGTGTTACAAAACATGACCAGTACAATAAACTCCTGAAAGCAAATTAGACACGTTTACCTAAACAACAACATGATGCGCAGCATGGGAGCATTTGGGCTGTGTGATGCCAGCCTCTACCAGCAGCAGGCCATGTAGGGGATGCGCAACAATAGTTAGCCTTCATGAAAGTACGGCATTCCTGCACAGGTTGTGGAATCTCATCTGGAGATATTCAAGGCCCACCTGGAAACTTTCCTGAGGAACCTACCGGAGGGAATCCGCTTTAGCAGGGGATTGGGCTTGAATCCCAGAGATCCCTCCCAATTCCTATGGCTCTGTGATTACCCATAGCACATTGCACAGAAGGAGGTCAGCACCCACTTCTTAGCTGCCTCTCTGTTTGTGCCAGCACTTCTGGCCATCAGAAATGGGGGGCACGAGGAACAGGACACAGTCTGAGAGTGACAGGACAAGGGGGAACGGCTTTAAACTAAAAGAGAGAGATTTAAGTCAGTATGAAAATTCCCCAGAGGGCAGTGAGACGCTGGCACAGCTGCCATGTAAGCTGTGGTGCCCCATCCCTGGAGGTGCTCAGGGCCAGGTTGGATGGGGCCATGGGCAGCTGAGCTGCTGGGGGGCAGCCCTGCCCATGGCATGGGATTGGTCCCCTCCAACCTAAGCCATTCTGACACACCTTTGGTTCTAGGAAAGAGCAATAGAACCGTATTTTCAATTACTCTTTTTATCACAGAGACACATTACTACTCCTTGCTATACCCCATAGATTGCTCAAGTAAAGTAACAGAACACCTGCCCATTCAATTTAAAAATGTTTAAATTTTCAAAGCATCTTTTGATTCTGAAGAAGTCATATTTATGGATAGTATACATGAAGGAATTCTTAAGGGATGTTTCTGTTTAAAGACCAGCAGCGGGCTCGAGCTTCACACTGCAGTGCATGCCCGGCTCCGGAGCGTAGACCCGTAGCTCCCTCACGAGATGAAGACCCGGAGGAGCGGGATGGGTGAAGGAAACGAAGCGAGGCACCGGCCAGGCGGAGGTGGGCAGAGGCCCGGCTCCCTCAGGTACCCGCACTGACAGCCCGCCGCGTGCCCACGAGCCGCCAGCACCGCGCTCCGCACCGCCTCATTTGGATGCACGGCGCCCTCCGGGTCGCGCATGCGCACTGCGCCGGCTGTTAAAACTCACTGCGCCATCGCCGCCGGAAAACCCCTCCCTGGAGAAGGAGCGGCCGAGCCGCTGGGGCGGGAGGAGGCGGCCGCCGGTCCGGGGCGGCTCCTCGTCCCGCGGCCGTGCTTGTGCTCCGTCCGTTTACCCCGTCCCCGCCCGGTACCGGCCACACCGCCGCCGTTTCCAGAACGTTCCGCGGCTGTAGCTGCCCGGAACGGTGCGACGCCTGCGCGCCGCTCGCCCCGTCCCTCTCTTCGCCGACCTCCCTCGCGCCCCAGCCCCGGGTCCCGTTACCCCGCCGGGCAGCGGAGTGCCGCGCGCCCGCCCCCCGCCAGCCCAACGGCCGCCCCCCGTCCCGTGCCGAGGCCACGTGGGCGGGGCGCGGCCAACGGCAGCCGCACGGAGCTGCGCTCCGGGAGCGGCGCTGTGCAAAGGGCGGGCGGGGGAAGGGAGCGGCAGCTCCGGGCGGGAGGGAGGGAGGGAGCGGGCGGAGGAGGAGAAGGAGGAGTAGGAGGAGGGCTGTTTTCAAACCCGACGGCCACAGCGGGGCCGGGGCTGAGCGGCTGCGCGCGGCGGGAGGCGGCGGCGGCGGAGCTGCGGGCCGGGAGGAGGTAAGGCTCGGCCGCGCCCCTCGCTCTCCTCACGGCGGGGCAGCCCTCAGGTGCTGCCCTGCTCGGCGCGGCGGCTGTCAGCCCGTCGGCGCCGCGCGGAGCCATGGCCGCCGCTGTCACCCTCCGCCGGGCTGGCCGAGGGCCGGCGGGCGGCGGTTCCCTGGGGGGAGGCAGGCGGGGAGAGAGAGAGAGGGAGAGAGGCGGCGGGGCGCTGCCCGCCCGGGGAGCGGCGCCGGGGCCGCGCCGCTCTGCCCGTCTCGGAGCCGGGGCTTCCGTTGACGGCGGCCGCGGCGCCCTGCGGGCGGCTGTCAGCGGAGCGCGGCCACGGTGAGGTGGAGCCCGCGCGTGGCGCGGCACAGGTGGCACCGGGCAACAAAGGGAGGGCGAGAGCGGCGGGCACGGCGGCGGGCGGCTTGTGACACTGCCGGATTCGGCTCGTGTGCGTGCTTTTGTTCGGTTTTAAGGACCGGGCTGCTGGTAGGGAGCGAAATAATCCCGTTTTATTCCGTTTATTCCATTTATTTTATTCCATTTAATTCCGCTTTACTCCTTTTATTGCCTTTTATTCCGTTTCTCTTCCCACACGACCGGCTGGGTGTTTTGTGGAAGTAGCCCGGCAGCCCTTGCCGTATTCTGCACCTTTGTTTTGTGGGTGTGGAAGGAGATGGGAATTTCATGCCTCTGAGTTCCAGAAGAGCCGATGGGATAAAGCAGCACTAATAAAGAGCAGCGAGTGAGTTGTGATGCTCGCAGGAACACAAAGCTATCAGACAGATGTGCGGCAGCCCAAGTGTCACAGCGTTCCAGGAAAAACTGTTTAATCTTGGAATGAGGGGGAAGGGTGAGGTCATCGTGTCTATAAGAAATCATTAGTGTTCATTACAATCATCCACTGTTATCAATGTGAGAAGATTTGAGGGGAGACACTATCCTGGTTCTGAAGCGCTTGGGTGGATTTCAGCATGCAGCTTGTCAGCAGCCTGCTCGCATCTCAGCTCCTAGGGCTGGATGTGGTAAGCTGCCCACAGGGGTTGTGCAGCTGGGAAGGGCTCAGCACCCACTGCCAACTCAAGTTCAGTGGGATGGGGTCCCTGGAGTAGTAGGTCTTTAAAATAATGTGAGACTTCAGGGCATCTCACCTGTTGTGACTTCTTCAGGCTTGTGCAGATGTTGGAGGTTACTCGCTGCTCTTAATTCTTTAGCTAAAACTGTAGATTCTCAGCCAATCTTCGTCTCATCCTGTGTCAGTTCTGTAGGTCGCAGTGCGAGCTTGAAGAACTGTTCAGGTGAAATCGCAGGGTTTGAGCTACGGCAGAATGCTGCGTTGGGAAGGCAGCACTAAACCCATTCACTGTCCTTTCTTTTTTTTTTTCCCCCTAAAAGCTTTGTCTTTCCTGCACACATCTTGTAAGCTTAAAAAGTCGAGGAGTACAGTTGTTTTTCTCAGTACCCAGAGGACCGTGGTGGTGTCAGTGTTTTGCTGTATGGTGTGCGAGTCCCTTCTCTGATTTGCTTCTTAGTAAGCTGTGAGGCTGGCTGGTGTGCCAGAGGGTGGTCAGAGAGCCGTTCATCCTTTCAGAAGGATGACATCTGGATCTGAAAGATAGAAGGATTTCTGCATATCCATTGCCATCTCTTTGTGTGTTCTTCGCCCACTCAGATGATTATTCAAAATTATTTGTGAACTCTGAATACTACAGACAGCAAAACTTAGGACAGATGTTGTGTAAGAAAGCAAGCTGCATGCAACAAGCGACATTCATGTAAGGTTTATTCCAACCAGGCTTGCGCAATAGGCAGCTTCTTTGAGGAAAAGGACTTTTAATAAGCAGCCTGAATGCTGCTTGTATGAAGCATCAGGATTTATTTGGTGTTAGTTGGGGGTGTTACTTTGTTACCACTTAAGTTAGAATTAGAAACATATACTGAAAATGAAATGCCCATCTTTATTAACACAGATTATCGGTTGTAGGCTCAAGCAGCAGTTCATTTGTGTCACTGGGGGTCTGTTTAAATTGCTACAAAACTCAGAAACCTGCAGCTCTAACTTTGCAAGGTAGGGGGGTCCTGGGCGTACTCTTGCTGAAGCACTGGCACCTGGGAATAGCTGAGCTAGAGTTTCTTCCTCAGTGCTGAGCTTTCGGGTGCCTGAAAATAAGTTCTGCTTGTTGAACTCATTTGCCATGTTCAGACTATCTCAGTATGGTGAAATTGCCTGAAAGACCAGTGTTGTTGGTCCTCTTTTACAATTGGAAAGAGCTATTGATCACCAAATATGTAATGATTAACCTGCAACCAGTGTTAATATTCACATCCAGAACAAATTACTTCTGACTTCTTTTTAATCTTTTGAAGAAATAAGCTAGATGTGAGTGTTTGGCATTTCTTTCTCTTGCATGTTCTTTTGCAGATGGAGTAGTATAAATGTTGATTGGTCATTTAGTCTCCAGATTCTTATGTTTTAGCTACATCATTAGATTCTACTTAGACTCCAGTGACAGATGGCATGAAATAAATATTAGCACAAACTCTGTCTTGCATTTTGCATTATGACACTCAATGGTTTTATTAACAGAATAGCAGAAGTCAGAGCCCAGCTAACATAGTCTTTTTTTTTTTTTTTTTTTCCTTACAAGTTAGTTTTTCTTCCAGAACCTGGAGAAATCCTGGGAAGATCCTCAAGCAGATCACTGAGCTGTGCTTGGTAGCTCAGCTATGGAGTTGAGGACCTTTACTGTTGCCTTCTATAAAACCTAAACATTAATTTAAAGAGAGGCTGAGAGCCATTGAGAGCTGGTATGACTTCACTGTGGCTTATTTTGGGTTATCTGCCTGGGTCTGACAAAGCGTCCTTTTATCTGCAGCTTGTACTTTTATCTTTTGCAAGCAGCAAATGAAGAAATTCTGCTCAGCTTCATGGAGCTATCTGAAGCAGCTGAGCATACAGTGTTGCAAGGCAATTGGTTTCACTCCGTTTTATGCCAAGAAAAGTCATAATCCATACAGAGACATAAATATGATTTATGTTAGAGGCAAAAGCTAAGGATACTGGAACCACTTTCTTGCCCCATCTTGCATCAATGAGGCTGGAAAGTAATAGAGATAGAAAGCACTTTTCCCCTGCCTTCAGGTTTCAGAAAGTAGCGTTTTGTTGTTTGTGGAGTATTGTTCTGGGAGAAATCTGAGTGAATTCCCATCACTTGATGACAGCAGCAATGAGCTTGCTTGCATTAAGACACTTCCAGTAGTTTCCCACCTCTTTCTTTTACATCCTACTTAATGGATATCTGGCCTTTCAAACTATTCAAGCTCTGATTAGACAGATAGCTTCATGAGCCACGCTGCAGAAATATCTTTCTCTTGTTTACATTCGCTTCACGATCTTGTTCAACAAAGAATGCTAGCTGACAGAAATCAGCTTTCTGTGGTGCTCTGTGTTTTTCTAGCAATCTAATTTGGGTTCTTACAGTTTGCAGATAAGAGAAAAAGGGGAAAAATTGTTTCCTAGTATTTTCTTTTGAGAAGAGCGAACTCTAATATGGTATTGACAGTCATATTGCTTCTTAAAACTTAATAAATAAATAAATATAAAATCTTGTCTTGAAAATAGCTTGTTCTATGTCTTCCTGCCCTTCAACTTCCCAGTGACATAGGAACATTAGTGAGGGTTGAGTGCGTTACTCACTGTAGTTTTGCAGCTCTGAATAGTTACACTGTATGCAAATGAAGTTCTAACTAATCTCCTTTCCTCTCCATCTGTTCCACCACTTTCTCTTCCACCAAGAAAAATTATTTCCGTAAGGGAACTTACTTTATTCTGTTGCTTATATGATACGTGGTGATGGCCATGAGACGGCAGTAAAGGCTGCTGGAAGTTTTGCATGCCTTCACAAACTAGCCAGGACAAAACCCTCAATTATACAGGGAGAGCTGTAAGTCTAGCCAGAAGATTGATTTTTGTTTTTTTCCCCTTCATCTGCTGTTTGAGATCTCACCAATAATCAGACGCACATGAACAAGCCATTTACCATGCTGGATCCTGCTGAAGTTGAAGGACAAGGAATGGGTTGGGCAGTTATCTGCTTTTAGACCATGAAGGGCTTCTGTGTGCTTTAGGTGGTGTTTCTTCTGGAATGCTGCAGGTCAGTTGTGGGTCTTCCTGTTTCTAATATCAGAGCTAATTATCAGAGAAGCTAATGAAGGCTTAAATGGAAATTACAGAGATTCTAGGAATATTGTGTAGAATGGACCTGAAATCTCTGGGCTTGCAGGTCTTTACTAAGTTTCTAAAGTGTAGATCCTTGTAGAGGAAATTTAAACTTGGTCATTGACTTGCTTTAAGCTTTTCTTTGGCAAATGTTGTGCTGATGGAACAGCCTTAGCTGACCAAGATTTATTTTGTTGCATCTTTAGGGAATAGGCAGTAGATCAAAACTGAAGCTTACAACTCCACTTCTCCATTTAGCTTAAAGGGAGTATTATTATGTTCAGCATCTGTGCAGGTGCTTCCTTTGAGCCCGGAGCTCATCCTAAAAAAGAGTCAAGAGGAAGCACCTGTGAACATGCAAGTTTTTTAGACTTTGTAGATCAAAAGGCAAGACTCGTCATGGATTTTGCAATAAGTGTCTTCAGCTCCTGACGCTTGGGCAAGCATGACTCCTTCCTTTTCTCTCCCAGACTAGGTTTCCTCTTTATAGGATCAAGAAATTCCTTTATTTAGAGAGACTGTCTAGAATGAAGAGAAAGCCCATCAGGCACTCTAGGGCTTGTGTATGTCTGCTTCTCAGAGTAAGGAGATGAAGGTTTTTCCACGTAGATGTTTATTTTGACAGCGAGTATGGGCCTCGATTAAAAATAGGATGCTTCCCGATGTGTATTCTACACAGCTGTCTTAATGATGTGATTTAACTTGACTCTGCCATCAGTGCTCAGAAGCTGCATGAGTTCTTTGTTGGAATAAATGCTGCTCTGACTTCATGGCATAAGTTGCTGGAGAATGTAACAGACTTAAACCTTTTAATATGCTGAGCATATCGGCAGGAGGAGAGAACTGCCGGTGGACATGCAGCCTCTGAGTTAAAGAACAGCTGTGTTTCTAATTCACGGAACGGAATCGTAGCCTTGCTGAGATTGGAAGGCACTTCTGGAGGGCATCCAGTCCGTCCCCCTGCTCAGAGAAGGGCCGGCAGAGTGGATTGCTCAGAGCTGTGTCTAGTTGAACCTGGAATTCAGCCTAACTGTGTGAATAAAATGCTGCTAGGTTTAGTTAGCCTGTTGGGATTCCTCGCTGAAAGCTTGATAGATTCTAACCCTGTCAAGTGGCTTTCTTTCAAATAGAACTCTTCCTCCGTCTCCCTTCCTCCCTGCCCAACTGTTACAGGTAGTGAAATTAGTCAGGAAAAATACATTTTTAGTCACCAGAGGATGCAGCCTCGTTGCATTACTTGTTTTGTGGTAGTCTTGTCAAGCTGTGGTACGTTCTGCTGAGTTCTATTTCTCAATGAAGTCTTTTTTTTTTTTTTTTTTTTTTTTTTAATATAAATGACAAAGTGCTTGCATAAGAAAGACTTCTTTGCACTTCATCTTGCTTATTAAATATGCAGTCTGCAGTTTCTCTCCCCCTTTCCCTCCTCCCCCAAGAAGACAAACACCTGTATTTATTCTCTGTGTTGTTTGTATTGGCACGTAACTAAGGTAAGTCTCTTGCAGTGCCTGCAACTCACACTAAGCTTCTGAGTGGAAAACTGAAAGTGAAAGGACCTTATTTTCTACTGCAGAAGAAGATAAACAATAAGTATCTAGAGCGTAAATACTGATAAGAGTATTTCTTCTGATATATCCATCCGAATATTGATAATACTTGAAAAGAAGCTTATAATGTTTTTGATCCAGCAGAATCCTCTCAAGGAGAAAAACAAGTATTTCTTCCAGCAGTTGTATTTGTGATTCTCATTGTCATCTGCTTTCTTGCCAGCACTTCCTGGCAGAACGATCAGCCATATGTAAAACCAGTAATGCTTGTGTCTTCTGTGAACAGATGTGGGGTTGGTCTTGGAGCAGAGAAATGGGTGTGAGAGTAAGCAGTGCTGACAAGCATCCTTCAGGTTCAGCCGGCTGCAGTTCCCTACTGGCCCACAGGGAGAAATGCTGTAAGGATGGTGTCTGTGAAGGAGTGATATCCTGTGTCGCTAGGTGGGAGCTGCTCCAGCCCGACTGGAATGGGTGTCAGTATCAGTGACTTCTGTTAAGCTGGTTTGTCACTGTTCTGGGGAGAGGGAATGCTTTTGTTGGCTTCTTTCTGTTTTGTTGTTGATGCTGGTAGAGATATCCCTGTTCTTAAATGTATGCTGCTTGCACCTTGTATCTCCTAGGCAGGGAGAGGTTGTGCACCTACCTATATGCATAAAAAGAAACTTTTACACAAGTCTTTTGAGATCAGAGAGGATATTTTGCTTCTGAATCATTCCAAGCTGTTCTTTGAAGTAAACGTCATCTGGTCAGTGCTATGCAGGTACCATAAATTTCAGCTTTAGTATTTTAACCTGCTTCACTTAAAATCAGTTTGGCAATAAGGTGTTAACTCAAATGCTTTGAATGCAGCACTTTTCTCAGATATTAAAAGTAAATTAAATTAAATAGGAGAAAAGATAGTGTCAGTAGAAGCATCTGCCTCCTTTATCTCTTTGTTGTTTTTAGAAAGTGAGACAGTACTGAATTACTGATAATGATTCTGCCATTCTTGGAACTCTCTGGTATGCCATTTTTATACAACAGATTTCATCATTTTATGCTTTTTCAGTTTCTTTGCAAAAATTATATTAAGATATAATAAAAAAAATAAAATAAAAAGTTCATTTGCAATGTGCTTAATCAGTCCTCGTGCTTTATTATTAAGCAAACCTATAGTATAGCAGAGGCTTTTCTGAAGGAATAGATAGTGTTGTAATCTAATGTTGGTAGGACTTGCATTCTGGAGGTATGTCCTCAATAGAAGTGTCTATAGAATTGAGGTATACATCAGAGGCTACCTGTTGTACAGACGTTTCCTGGCTCTGTAGATTTCTTTTAGTAAACAACTAAGTAGAATTGTTGAGCATCCAGTCCTTTGATAATGACACCTTTTTGGATACTTGGGCTGTAACAGTTAGTATGCTTTTGTGAGGCGCTAAAGTAGATGTGAACCAA